GACCGAAGGGCATACGCTTGTACTCGTAATGACCATTCTCAGTCGAAAAAGCGGTTTTTTGAATATCCTCAGGATGCATTTCAATTTGATGGAATCCGTTGGCCAAATCTAAAGTGGAGAAATATTGGCTTTTGCCTAATTTATCAAGGATGTCATTGATATTCGGAAGTGGATATTTGTCATCTATCGTTCGTAAGTTCAAATTCCTATAATCAACTACTAAACGCCACTTACGTTTACCGGAAGCGTCCAATTTTTTTGGAACTATCCATATAGGACTAGAAAATGGTGAAAATGATTCTTGTATGATGTTTTGATCAAGCATTTTCTGAATTTGGGATTTTACTTCTGCCTTATGGACTTCGGGATAACGATACGTCTTAGTAAAGATTGGGGTATCATCAGTTAAATTGATTTTATGTTGAATTTGATTGGTGAATGCTAGAGGGATTTTATCGCAATAAAAGATATCTCTAAATTCTAAACATAAATCTCTTATAGCTTTATTTTCTTCGGAATTGCAATGTTGTAATCTGAGATTCTTAAGATTAGCTTTCAGTAGATTATCTTTGGAAGGGTCAACCTCAATAACGTCGTCAACTTCCATTTTTTCTATAAAATTGATTTCGTTAACATTCAGTAATTCTGAATTAAAAGGTGCAGTTATTTTGATAGTTATTGGTTCTGATCTAGAATTAATAATGGTTGTTGTTGCAAAATAATTTTCGATATTAGTAATAGCTTCTGGTGACTCTATTTGTTCATCGAATTTAATATAATTTAGAATGCAATGACCTTTTTCGTACTTGACTGGCAGTTTTACCACTTGTTGTGTTCTAGCAGGAATAGTTATAGAACAATTAAAGTTACTTATTCTTTTACTTGTATTAATTTTTTCCAATTCAAAAATAATTGGTATTTTTACAATCGGAGTGATTAATAATTTCTTGTTAACATCCAATACAGCTTGTAGTTGTGCTAACAAATCAATGCCAATCAGTCCGTCATATTTTTTGCTAAAATCAAAAACAAAGAATTTATGCTTATTCTTGTCTTTAAAAATATCAAAACTTGGTATTAATACTGCTTGGTCGTGATAAGAAATATTGTGAGGTGTTTGAATCTGAAATTCTTCTTGAAAAGTATAATTTCTGTAAAATTTATTAACTATTTTCGAAGACAGCAAACTTTTAGTGCTCCCTGTATCTATTAAGATATTTGCTTTTATTTCAGGGATGTACAGATAAGGCAAATTTGCTGCGGTCACGTTCAAGTTAATTAAGTTACTTTGTTGTTGGATGTGATTATATGAAAATTTAATTCATCAGCTTCCTCCTGAGAAGTGCTGGCTGTCGAAATTTCAGACTGTTGTAAGTTACTTACATTGTTGCACTCTGCGTATGGGTTATAAGTATTATATGGCATTTCTTCATTAGAAGGATAATAATTATTATCAAAAGAATATTGGTCATTTGGATCGAAATTTTGATCTTGATCGTTTTGGTATAAATATGAATAATCAAAGTTATCGGCATGGCTCATCATATTTTGATAATCAAAGTATTGACTTGGATCATAAGGATTATTTTCAATACTTTGTTGGTTTAATTCTGTGAATGTATATTTGGGTTGTTGTCTTTGATTGTTAATCATTGTGTTGCCAGATGAAGTATCCATTGGCTCGGGTTTCTGTTTATTCTGATTGTTTTGATTGGGATTATTGAAAGGTGGTCGAAATTGATTATTTCGAATTATTTGGCTCGGTTTTTGGCCAGAGAAAAATGGTCTTTGGAAATTGGGTCTAAATTGTGAATAATTGGGTTGGAATGTATTTGGTCTGAATTGGAATGTATTATTTGGTCTTGGATAAAATGTATTTGGTCCTGATGATTGGAAACCAAATGGCCTGTGATTGTTATTGAATGGTGGTCTCTGAAATGCGAGATTTGTTTGCTGGTTATTTTGGTTAGGCATTGTATTATTTGGTAAATTCAAAGTTGGTTGTTGATTATTATGATTTGTTGTTTGAAAATTAATTAAATTAAATCTATTTATGATATTTTCGATTTCGTCTTCAGAATCAGACATAAATCGTTAAAAAGCAAAAAGAAAAAATAGTGACTTTATAAAAAATGAGCAAAAATCTATAAAAATAAACTTAAAATTTACTTACATTAATAGAAAAATGATTTGTTTCATTCCTGTAGCATTTATTTCACTTATTTTCTACACTTAACTACTGTTCCAAGAGGAAAGAAGCGATTTTTGTCTTCAACTCCCTAGATTTCTTAAACTAGCTGGTTTTGGCGATGTGGTCCTCCACCAGTTACTGCTTCAGTTTGATTTTCGTCGTTTGTTGCCCGGAACCACGATGATTGCCAAATTAACCGTAAACGGAACTTTTTGCGAAATTACGAGCGATTTTTGTCTCGACGATAACGCGACGTTTTGGCAAATCCTACCGACTGCGCCAATTTTAGGTTCGATTAGGGCAAATTACTTTTTAAAAAACAAACTTTTAAAAGCAGGGACTTTATTACTCGAAATACAAATGAATAAAGACGAATTTTCATCCGTTACAATGGCTTAAATAAAATGGTATAAATGTAAAGTCAGCAGTAATAATCGTGTGGGTCGCTCGAAGTCGGATTGTTGTTACGGTTCTCATCCATAAGAGGCCATGTATAGAGTGTACATAACTCGCTATAATTTATCGCCCGGAAATTACGTCATAACTATTATGTCTTATAGCGTCAAGGCATTCCGACATTAATAAGAATGGGCGGGAGCGCGGTCAGTGCGTCCTTATATTTTACATGCTTCTAGAAAAAGATGCAGATAAGCTCAGTGCGCATTGATTGACAAATGGAAACCTCTCAAAAAGTGGGGTTAAGTTGAGGGTGCGCCTCAATGAACTATAACCAAAAACTGGAATGCTAACACATAAGGAAGAACGTGAAGCCTAGTGCAGCTGCTGCGGAGAGGATACCTGTTTTTGTCGCACTCATTATGTTAAATGGCGAAAATTGCTTCCAACACGTATTCCAATTGATTAAACCTGTGAAGGAAAATATGACAAAACTTTCGAAAACGTCATATGTCAGCGAGCAACAGAAAAAAACAACATTCCCCCTTGTGGCATCTGTCTTTCATGGCTTCATTTTTTGGGCAAATATGGCAATGTGCGCGCATTCCAGTTTTTGGCTATAGTTCATTGGTGCGCCTAGATGTAATGACACACAGACGCTGATATATCTCTCTTTTTTGCACTAATGAGTAAGTGTGTGTCGAATATAGCACGAAGGTTTGATTCATTTCATACTCAAATACAGCAGCTATGACGTAGAATCAAGGCGCGGAATATTTTCGTTTAAATAGTGCGTCCCAAAACTCTACTTTAACAAAAAGTTAGCAATTTTTTCTGAAATTTCTTTCAATAGGAATATTTTCCATTTACTCCATAGATGAACAATAGATCATCGATTTCATCGAAATTATACATTGTCCACTACCCTATACTGTGACTGTGAAATAACTTCATAACTTCATAACTTTTTTGCGAGCTTTTTTGTTTATGAAAATAATTGATTTCCGTAAAAACTTTCTAAAAGCACTTTTTCAGGCAGAATCCAGGACGTTCTCAGTTTTTTTCTATTTGGCCCCGATTTCGAGATATTGATCAAAATCCGATTTTTTTCAATAGAACACCCTATACATATATTAATAGCTTGTTGGAAAGCTCTGCTTTTGCTGATTTCGATGATATAAAGTTCGATAGGTTTATCTCCAATGGTTTTGGAGAAAAAAAATTATTACGATTTTTGTCGTAAGGAACAATGTGTTGGAAAAGGACTTTATATCTGTAAGGAAAATGATAAAGGTCTCTTTCTAACACATTGCTTCTTATGACAAAAACAGAAATAATTTTTTTCCTCGAAAACTGTCAGGGATAAACCATCAAACTTATATCATTGAAATCAGCAAAAGCAGAGCTTTCCAATGAGTTACTAATATATAGATAGGGTGTCCTATTGAAAAAAATCATACTCTAGTCAATATCTTGAAATCGGGACCAAATAAAGAAAAACCGAGAACGTCACTTGCTCTGCTTAAAAAAGTGCTTCTAGAAAGTTTTTACGGAAATCAATTATTTCCATAAACAAAAAAGTTATGAAGGTTTCACAGTACTGCTCAAAATCGAGAAACGCCCTCTAGCGGCTAAACGGTTGAAGATATGAAAATGTGGATTGCACCAATCAAGATTTCATCAAATTTGAGCCTCGGAGTGGGGGGTTCATTTTTTTGTATCTGGCTCAGAAATTGACATTTCCTATTTAAACCATCCAAATTTGGACACCCTGTACACCTAATTAATAATAATAATAATAATAATAATAATAAACTTCAATTTCAAGCATTTTTATTAAGCGAGGAGTGTAACACTTTTACTCCCACTGAAACTGATTTTGACAAGATGTCATTTCGTTATGAATAAAAATAATGAGACGAAATTCTGGGGGCATAAAGAACTTGATGAGACCTTCAAAAAGAGGTAAAGACTGTTTTTTTTTTTAAAGATAAAAGCTCGGATAAAAGTCAAAATGACATTATGTTGGCAATACAATGTAAAATTGTCAATGCTTCAAATTTTTTATGTAGAAAAGGCTTGTGTTGCCAACATAGTTATTAAATTTTTGACTTGGGGAATTATCTTTAAAAAAAAAACAGACTTTATGACACGATCCCTATCCCCTATTCAAATTTGGGGTGTTGTTCTCCTCCTAGCTAGGGGGTTGAAGCTACGGGGATGGAAAAAACTGAAAAAAAGTTCCGTGTCGACGTGTCGGAGCGTTTTCCCACATTTTCATTTCAAATTAGTGAATCGGGGTAGACTGTTTTCCCCGGGACACCCTGTATAGCTACTCTACTCATACTCCAGTGATTAGTGATTCAGTCAGTACCCAGAAGATTTTGAAACTAGATACGAAGTGAATACTTACCTAGTAGAATGCAGGGATCAGTATGGGTTATGGATTCTATTTTTCTTTTGGTCCTAATATGTATTAGAGGTCAATGATCACACTGTATAGGAGTTATAGGACCTAGATGATTGGTTCTGATAAGTATGATATCCTGAATTTAAATTTAGAAGTTTATGTAGGCTAGGTACTCGGTTAGGTACTTACCTCCTCTACTACCTTGGTAATTCATTTATGTTGCACATAAAATAGAGTATAGAGAATAGAGTCTAGTCAAGGAGTCTAGCTAAGTAATTTTTAATTATTTCTATATTTTTCTAGGTTATTCAATTGTTTGGTTCTGTTGTTATGTTTATGATTGAAAGGAAGAGAGGTTAAAAATGTTAAAATAGCTACACACACACTCGACAATAACATAACGACACATACGATACCTACTACGACTTTCTCAAGCGTTGCCGTAGTTGCCGAGTCCTGCAAGTTCGAGTCCGAATTGTATTTTTATGTTTCCTTGGGTAATTATGCCTATTCATCGAGTTCATTAGGTTCCATCAGGCAATTTCCACAAATTAAGTAAGATTTCTGTCTGTTTAGTTTGTTAAAGAAAGATCCGTCATAGTGTCAAGAATGGCACTATACCTACGCTACAGTGACTTATTAAACCTCAAAACGGAGTTTACACGGGAAGTAAACGGTCATGTAGTGTACGTGACTTAGGGATGCGCACGATGTATCGATGTTTCAAAAACATCGATTTTCTTATTTCGATGTTCGATGTTTATATCGATGTTTTTTTATTCGATATTATTAGAGAACATCGATATTTTTTTGCGATGTTTTTTCGATGTTTTCTACTATACTACACCTTTCAGTCCCTGCGACTATCGAAGATAGCTTTAAAATACTTGAGCGTTGTAGCAGCTTCGGTTTCATATGGAAGACTATTTTCAAATGCAGGACAAATTTTGACACAACACAAGAATTATATGGAAAAGGAAAAAAAAATGCGGTTCTTGGATAATTGTGATTCAAATATGATTGTTATTCGTATTCATATCATTTAAGTCAAGTATAACTAGATTTACTCCCTAGTGCTTAGCTCTTGCTATTGTTTGCTTTTAAATGTACTTTTTATTCATTATGAATCGTACATTTATTAAGTAAATGTATATTATATTAAAAATACATAAGAAAGTTAAGTAAAAATGATATTCTATTTTTTAACAGTCTAATTTTTTCTCACCATATTTTCAAAAACATCGATGTTTAGAAACATCGATATTTTCAAGCCGATGTTTTTACAACATCGATTGTGCATATTCGATGTATCATTTGATGTCAACATCGATGTTTTCAAAATTTTGCGCATTCCTAACGTGACTGCATCAGACAGTTTCAATTTACAAATCACGTGCCTGTCAAAGTCTCGGAGCAAATCTTAGAGCAGGTAAAGGTAAAGGAGTAGTAACCTGGATTTGGAAAATGAAGCCGTTTTTTTCCAGGTATTTTGGCCCACAAAAAATGGCGGTTATGGCAATTCAATGCTCTACCTGTATTTTGGTGCCAAACACCTGCCAAAAACTTAGCTTCACTTTAGTTTCATAAGTAGAATGGCGCGTTCCTACTCCTTATGTCCGTAGGACAGCGCTTTACCTGCTCTAAGGAGCAAATCGATGAAAAAGATGACAAAAACAAACACGGCTACTGTACTCCTTTTATACATCGAGTTACACCGAACGCTACGCTCTAGAGCTCTTCGGAGTCACTCCAAAACACACAATAGGGAATTCTTATAAGAAATAAATATGGCTTATTTTGTTTTTATGGTGCACACTTTTGTGTAAAAGATTGAATATGAGCAGTTTTGTATTAAATTCATGGATATTATAGTCATATGACAATTATTAGTTTTAAATTGAAAAGTTTCGCGCGGAAAAGTTACTTTTAACATGGCCGCTTCCAGTGACGTCAACTGTTCGTAAACTAAGGTTAAGGGTAGTTTACACTGATCGTAAATCCACGGTCCACACTTTCGTGGTTCACTCTTGAATCATGGAACGATTGGTCCACAATCAGCTTACGTCATGCCACGACTGATATTGAACCACCATAAACGGGTCTATAGAGGGAAGATTGTCAGACTGCGCTTTTGTAAATCCTGTATCAATCATGATGAACTATTTGAAACACAAAATGTCACAATATGGCATTAAATACCTCATAAATAACCGCTTTCAAGTTCCAATGCAGTCGAAGGTTCGCTAAGCGATTCTTTCCGACAGTTTGCAAAGTGTCAAAGGCTCTTGTGAGAACAGACCTTAACGTTGTGTTTACAGACAGTTGACGTCACAAATTCCACCATCTTGAAGCTAATCGTTTTCGCGCCAACGAAAATAATTTGAAATTCAAAATAATCTTTTTATTTCAATGAGGACACAAAAAACAAAAAAAAACATATACATTTTATATTTGAAAACATAAGCAATAAGAAAAAAAATACTTTGAAAAATATGATAGTTCCCTATTCATAAACCTCTGTAGACAGCCCCCCAAAATAAAATTTTTGACTTTTTTTAATCTCAATTATTCTCAATCGTTTGATAATCATTTGATAGTGATTGATAGTCCTGAGAGATCGTTTGATAGCGATTTTTTCTAGAGTTATCATCTATTGTTTTTTATGTGTATTAAAATAGTTGTATTCCTTTCAAGAGTTTAAAACACCCGAGCTACTCGCTCCGGTGTTACTCGACCCTGATTTGAAAGGAACAGATGCGCTGGCTTTCATGCATTTAAATGGTTTGAGAAGTGGCTAAATAAACCTTTACATACAGTGGCGACAATAGAGGTCCCGCCGCCATCTTGTTCCCAACCTCTTGTTACTTTTAAATAATAATATATAGGATTTAAATGGACATGTATCATAAAAAATTGAAATCGACGTATTTAATGACCATTATTAGGTCCATCAAATACGTTGTTTTCCATGATTTATGATGTATGTTTACCTAAATCCCATATATTCATATTTTAAAGTAACAAAGAGGTTGGGAAGAAGATGGCGGCGTTTTCAATATAAATATATGGGATTTTAGAACCAATCAAAAATAAGACAGCAATTGTAGCCACTGTGGTAAATAGAGTCACTGTAGTTTGAGTGGGGCTTGAGGCTTGAGCACTCAGGTGCAACAAACACTTTTCGAAAGGAATAAGCGCGTAACGCCCCGGAGCTGTTCCGGAGCTCCTCCCAGGTGTGAAAGGATTGAAAGGAATATAACTAATGTCAGCCCCCCACTTTGTCAAAAATCCTTTCTGTTTTTTTTTAAATGATTCGTCGCGACTGTGCGTGGTTTGATAGTTTAGGCGTATTTTAGCGACAGGTAAACATCATACTACACATACTACGATTCATGACGTCATAGTTACCCAAATAACAGGTGGAGTGTATTTGACAAAGGGTCTAAGAGAGGACGCCATGATCGTTGTTTATTTGGATTTGTTGAATTTTGTAAAATTTAGCGTTTTCGAGTTTCAATATTTTCTCCAGTGAAGATTTTCGATAGATTGTGGTATTTTTGAATTTTATGGGTACCCAATGCCAAAAAAAAAATAAAATTACACTTTTGTGCACAAGTAAAGATTTTTAATTTTTTTTGCAAAAAAACTCTAAAATAAAATCACAGAAAACCATGGCAAAATGAGGAAAAACAATCGTCTATTTATAATGGAAAGAACTGTGTTGGTAATCGTAGCGTAATCAGCTGATGTTTTGCCCATATGCTCATTTTTGTGTATTAGAAAAAGATGCACTGACATACTACAACCAGTAACTATCCCTCCTAGGATGTTTACATGTTTACAGCCGAGTTTTATGTTGTGTTTTATGTTGTGACGTCATAGTATGTTAGCCATGCTCGCTAAAATGTAGTATCCCAAGTAAATACAACATACTACTGGGTTAAAACTCTCGCTAAAATACGCCTTTTAATATCAACGTTTGATAGTTGGTCTTGAATCATCATTCTTATTATTATTAAGGTAATTTCATTAGAGCAGGTAGGTAAAGGTAAAAAGAGGAGTAGTAATAACATGGAGTTGGAAAATGAAGCCGTTTTTTTCCCGGTATTTTTATTGGCACCAAAAAAAATGGCGGCATAGGCAATTCAATGCTCTACCTGTATTTTGGTGCCAAACACCTGTCAAAAACTTGGCTTCACTTTAGTTTCATAAGCAATGGCGCATTCCTACTCCTTATGTTCGTAGGACAGCGCTTTACCTGCTCTAAGGTAATTTCTAATAATTGCATTTTTGTCTACATTTAATTTATAGGGGAGCTCGGCTCGAGAGACCGTTATTCCAAAGCTATCGTAATGGGCCTATTCGGGTTTGGGAAAATTACGGTTCTAGAACGGTTCAAAACAATCGCACAGTTTATTATTGAAATTTGTGATAGCCAATGAACTATAACCAAAAACTGGAATGCGAACACATATTGACGAACGTGAAGCCTAGTGCCGCTGCTGCGGAGGGGATACCTGTTTTTGTCGCACTCATTATGTTAAATGGAGGAAATTGCTTACAACACGTATTCCAATTGATGAATACGTGAAGGTAAATATGACAAAACTTTCCAAAACGTCATATGTCAGCGAGCAACAGAAAAAAACAACATTCCTCTTTGTGGCATCTGTCTTTCATGGCTACATTTTTTTGGCAGAAATGGCAATGTGTGCGCATTCCAGTTTTTGACTATAGTTCAATTGACCTTTTGTTTCGACGCCATATTGCGGTGCGCGAACATAGTTGCCAAAACAAAAAAAAACAAAAATTACTAGCGGGCTGTCAACTAGATATTTTATTATTTCTATTCTGCCCAATACAAGCTAAAATTGATGGCTTTTCTTTCGAAAAACATTCGTAATAGGCGGCAAATTTAAATTTTAAATGTAATTTGTTCACTAAGTTTGGATTTTAAAGTTGACAGAACGCTAGTAATTTTTTTTTCTACTGTTGGCAACTATGTTCGCGCACCGCAATATGGCGTCCAAACAGGTCAATTGACCTTTTGTTTGGACGCCATATTCAAAACCCGAATAGGCCTAATAATGAGTGCTAGTCTTTGTATGTTGGCATTTTAGATGAAAAGAGCTAATCCAAACTAACCTGTCCTTATAATAAGTTCTAATATTTGTATGTTGGTATTTTAGACGAAAAAGGCTAATCCAAACTAGCCTGTCCTCCTAACGAATGGTAGTCTTTGTAAGTCTGTATTTTTAACGAAAAGAGCTTATCTTAACTAACCCGTCCTCGTAATGGATGCTAGTAATTGCATGTTGGTATTTTAGACGGAAAGAGCTGATCCAAACTAATCCGGCGTCCTCTTAATAATCTTTTAAAAAAAAAAAAAAACCGTAAAAAAAAATTTAAAAAAAAATGTATTGCCTCCAAAGAGAACAACTGACAAAGTGAGGGGGCTAAGGCAGGCCGCACATCAAAGAAACATCAATCCTGAAACATAAAACATAAAACGTAAAACATGAAACAATAAATTACGAAAAGCGAAACCGTTTCTTTCTTGCGTACTAATTGAAGAAACAAGAATTATATTTGCAAAGTCATTTCTGGTAGTGAAGTTTGAAGT